TTGTGCCCCGTGCACTAGACCCATAATCCCAAAGATAAAAGCGGTGAAATGAAGAGGTTGAGGATAAGAAAGTGCCCAAGAAATCCTAGGGTCAGGGCAGTGACAGCATGTCCAAAATACATGCCGTGGAAATACTGAAGTTGAGAGTTCTAATTCGATGGAGAGGCCCAGACTCAGCAAATGTCTTTAAAAAAATGGTAAAAAACAGAAAAAACAGTGTGGAAGTTACACTCAAATAACACAAATTCTGACTCGGAAAAAAAGGAAATAAGCAGAAAAAAGGAAATAAGCAGAAAAAAGGAAACACCCGAGAACAACACGGAAAACAAACAGAACAAAAAGTGCACAAGGGGGGAGAGGAAGGAGAGGAAGGGGGGGAGAGGAAGGGGGGGAAGCGGGGGAGAGGAAGGGGGGGAAGCGGGGGGAGGGAAAGGCAAAAGTGAAGAACACCCATGAACAAAAACACAACGCATACAAGTCACAACAACAAAGTCAGAAAAGAAACAGAACAACATATAAAGTAATCAGGGGAGAAAAAAGACGGAAAAGTCAGACAAAAACTACAGAAAGTAATCAGAAAAGCACAAAAACAAATTGGACAGGGGGGCACGGGGGCGGGGGGGGGGGGGGAACTGAGTCTGCAGCTGAGTTTGTTTCTGTTTTTCTTTTTCTGAGTCTGACATCCAAGGCCTGCTGGAAGTTGTATGTTGGGGTTGTTGCTTTTTTTGAGTTACTGTGTGTATATATATATATATATATTTGCGGCCAACCCCTCCTGTGGATAGGTTAAAACTCTTAATACTGAAGGGTGGGAAGACCGAGACGATTGTGGACGCAGGAAACCATGATAGCTTCTTGGCATCAGAAACAGTCATCAAATAATCAGGCATACGGCGTGCAGAATACACATGTAGCAAAACGTAGCAAGCAACTGGCAATTGCAAAGAACCGTTATAGAAGCAGCGGGTCTCAGCCTTATGCTCCCTAAAATGCAATGTGGCAATCGCTGTCAGTTTGCAAATAGTACAGTAAGAGATTAAAGCCCGAAGTTCTTTCTCAAGCGCATGTTTTTTCTGCAACCATGAATGATCATGCTGTGTTTGCTCAGTCCTTGCGCTTCAACCACGGCTCAATGGACTTGTACCTGTTGGAGATAGTTGCAAGTTGTTGCACTCATGCTGCAGGTCGGTGCACTGGTTGTAGAAGTTGGTGAGGTCAGGCACAAGATCCTGTTCGCTGAAATCAATTTTACCACAGACTCGCACCCCTTTTTTTCACAAGGCTCAGTTGGTCGCATTGCAGTCATTGCTTGATTTAGGTCTCCTTCACCACATAGGTGTGAGGAAGTGGCTGAATTTCGATCGGCTTGCTGCCTACAGCTCGCGCAGGTCTCTTTGATTGGCTCGATCTGAGCGTTCTGAGCTGTCTGCTCTCCTCAATGTACAGCAAGCACGCAAGGCCGTTCTTGCCGTTGATGTTCATTGCCTTGGTCCGAGCGCTCTGAGAGCGCAGGGTAAGTACTTCCAGTGCCAAACACAGGAGCCGCAGATTCCCTCTCGGCATGACCTGACAAGTGAACAACTTGATGCCTGACTCAGAAATCATAGCCAGCCTGCGAAAGGTCAGCGTGGCATCCACCTGCTTTGTGGCAGAGAGACAACCGCACTGATGGGCAGCATCCGCCTCATCCTTAATCTTGATCAGGGCATCCAAGATCATGGGTCCGCACTCTTTCAGGTCAATGGTGTAGTCCTGGAAGCAAACAGGACCGCATGACTCCACACATCAGAACTGCCGCAGCCTGCAGGAAGGGCTTTGCTTGCGTGTCCGGGTCATAACCTAAGAGACTTTCGGCTGAACTCGTCAGACATCGATCGCCAAGCTACGATAGATGGCGAAGGTCTGCGGCTTGGCCTCAAGCCCACGGTCGGGCCAGATCCCAGCCATGCGGCTGAAAGCACCGAAGAGTCGCAACCTTCACAGCGACCGTGCCACGGTCTCGGAGTCCGACTGCAGCTGCAAAGCCACGAGACAAAGATCGTGGCAAGGACCTCAAACTGGCTCCAATTCCCAGGCGCTTCACGAATCTCGTGATGCCTTGCCTTCGGAAGGCAGACAGCGCCATGTCTTGCCTTGACTCCAAGCTGCATATACTCCGATCAAAAGCTATCAACTGCAATTATATAATGCTGAGCTCGCCTTAAGCGCAGTGCTGGATGGCCGGCACAATCCCAAGCGATGCAAAGCTGTCACTAAGCCAAGCGATGGCCACGTCACAAAAAAGGCACACACCGGCAAGTCGCGACGAATCTACGTGAGCTGTAAAGACTCACTCTGAGTCCTGGCTTGTTCAAGCTGACCGCTTGCATATCGCTCACTGGCCTGTAAGATTTGCCTCTGTGTAAACCGTCGATGCTCAGCAGAGACCTGAGGCTGAACAGCACATTGCCAAGAATCAGATGCCCATTCTTGAAGCTTGGGACTGCACCCACTCGGAGGGTTTTTTCGAGCTTTTGGAGCTGGACATGGCCGGGAACCCAAGCAGCTCACGAGTGTCAGCCCAAACCAGCAAGACTCTTCCCTGTTCGGGGGCCCGAAGCGTGCTGATGCAACAGCTGCGTACGGCCCCTTTGCGCCAAGTGAAAGTCGTGAGATCTAGACTGTGAGCCTCAAGGGAAGCAAACACATGTCATCTGAACGCATTGCACATCGAACACACGGGCCATTTTTTGCATGCCGCTGGCAAATTTCACAAACGCGCTCAGAGACTCAGATTCGGATGCGCTTCACCTTCTTCCTGCAGATGCAATGGGCTTGTGCTCACTGCAGCAGTTGTGCTTCTTGACAGTCTGACATGATGCCCAAAAACAGAGCAGGCATCGAAACCGCATATGAGTGGAAGACAAGCTTTGTGAAACTGAATCCCACTTTCTAGAAGCACTGCCCCGTCTGACAAACGCTGCTTCAAGGTTTGAACCGAAATATTCGATACACCTCAGGTTAATTAGTGCCACCGACAACCGTTTGATATGTCCGGACTGACGTGGCAATGTCGGCAGTGGCAAACGACTGTTTTGCAGTTTGAACAAAAACATAACTCACTCAGCGACAATACCCCAACAGAACAAAATGCCCTGCCATTCTCGCGACCACCAAACAACCAGCGAGACAGTACATCTCTGGTACACAAGGGCACACAACCAAAAGAAACACACTGACACACACACACACACACCACTGGGACACCATCAAAGCACCAAAACACCACCGGAACACCACCAAATTCTTCTGGGATGCCATCAAAGCACCATCTCCAAGCACCAGGACAGCAATTCTACTGAGCCACCACCGGGACACGGGACAAACACACGCGAACACCACCGAGACGATTGCTGGAGAGGGGAGAGGGGAGACACCACACCTGGGAAACCGGGGCAACACTGTACAAACACCAATGAGCCAACACCAGAACACAAGTACCAGCGAGACATTACAGGAACACCGCCGGGACTATCTCGGCAAAAATCGAATGCGCAGACACTTTCCTGGTAATAGACCACATAGCTGGAACAAACCCTGAAGGGCTGGTTTCCTGGAGTCCTAAACTTGACATAGCACTGAAGCAATGACAAACTGCATGCGTCTATCGCTCGTCCAGATATTATCAATGGGAAACCACCCGGACACTACCAGGACTCCACTCGGAAGCTACCAGCACACAGGATAGTACAAGGAGACACGGAAACACCACACCACCGGAACACCAAGCACAAAACGGAAAACAATCAGCACCACCAACACCACCAACACCACCAACACCACCAACACCACCAACACCACCAACACCACCAACACACACCTAGAAGACCACGGGACATCCCTCCAACACCCCGGGACACGACCGGGACACACAAGCAAACCGGGATACCACTGGAACAACACACGACCAAAAGACCACCACACCGAAACGCCACCGGGACACCGCCAGGGCACCGATCTCGGGAACGGACGCACAGACTCTTAGGGATTAGAGAAATGGAATGTATTGGACCCCATAGCCGGGAGCTGTTGGAGAACAAACAATCAGCTTGGACTTTTGGAAGCTGCCATTGAACTGTCCCCCGCTCTTTAGCGCGTCCTGCAGAACCAGGGCCCTCTGTCAGTGCCCAAATCACAAAGCCACCCTCCTTGGCCGTAGTCCTGGCTTTTTCTATCTTCGCAGTGAGTAAACATGCTCCACCGCCTCTCCATCGTCCGGTAGATTCCTGGAGGCCTTGTAGTAGACCTTTGCAATTACTCAGAATGCTCGACGGGAAACGCCACACAGCCACTTGCTTGCCCCCCAAGGCAGGCTAAGGGCAGCGCCCGTTTGGGCTTCAGGAAGATCACCTCAGCGCACAGCGAAGGACAAATGTGAAGAAAGCATGCGCTTGAATCCAAGTTGCATCTTGACCTCGCATCCTTCCTTGGTAAACCACCTCCTGGAACACTCAATACTGGTAGCTCGTAAAGTCACAATTTGGGCATCCAATATACCCCGTGTCCTCCACGGAGAAGTGAGTTCCCTGCCCGAGGAACATTTCGCGAATTTGGCAGTGACTGTGCCTCCTTCCCAGCAGATGCGCCTTCTGCACCACTCGATGGGGCACGAGATTTGCATCGAGCCTCACCCACATTACTCCGCGACATGTTCTGTTCAGACCTTCAGGCCTGGGAGCTGTATAAATCTGCAGAGATGTCAAGGCCTGAGCCAAATGGAGATGAGACGCGGGAATTGGACAAACATGCTCCCTCCTCAAATGACGCCGGCAATTTTATCCGAGGTGGTGTCCTTGCGCAGGCCACACGCTCGCAGAGGCAAGAGATGGATGCTTGCGAGTCCTCCCCTTCAACAGGAGCGGGTGCCACCTCACGCACGTCTACTTTGAGAAGAAGCGCTGGCTGCTCACGTGTTGCACGCCGAGTTGTGTATTGACATGCGCACTTGCATCACAACCAGCTGAACCCTGAATCAATTCTAAAACGGTTGGACCCACAAGAACCCCAAACCGATCTCAAACAACCAAAAGCAACTCTAACGAGACCCCACCCGGTGCAGCGAACGTCGCCCTTTCGTTTCCCCCCAGCATCACAAACGCGAATTTGAATCGAAGCTAAGCAGGACCCAGATATCCAGGGCTTCTAATTTTAGTGCCAAAGTGTAGCAAAGCGTAGCAAGCGGACATTCTACTTGCAAAGTCCACTTTCGCACTCCAGCTCTACAATCGCAACTTCTCGACATGTTTTGCACCTGACGTATGCCGTGGCATCCCCAGACAGTCGCAACTGTTTACAAGCTTAAAACGCCATGTGTGGCAACCCCAGCTCACAAGCTGTAATTGATCAGTGCAAGTGACGGAATCCAAGTCCGATGGAAGCGTCGCCCTATGTGCTTAGACCCTCAACCGCAACACAATACCGAGCATACCTTCGTTGCAGGACTTCATTAAGGGTTTGCAGATGATCCATGTACATTTCAGATATTTAGACATGTATGTATGTAGGTAGGTTGGTTGGCAGGTAGGTATGTAATTGTCATCATACATACCAATATGTGCCTATGCTAGGTTGTTTACTCACCCCGGACAGATCTAAGCAGTCAGCTCGATGCTCTCATCGGCCTCCGGTGGTATCCGTGCCCTGAAAGGCGGTTGGCTTGGCTGATAGCAGGCATCTTGACACTGGCCTCAAAGCTATTCGTGATCGACAGCTGGCCGAAATTGCAAATGCCTAGTTCCAATAGGAGTGGGGCACAACGGGTGCGACTAAATTGGGAAATTCAACCGTTCTTTACCTTGCCTCCTCCCAAGCTATGACAAGTCCTGGCAGTGGCTGGCTCTCGGCACGACACGATGGATGTCCATGCAACTCTGAATTCAACTGGCCGGCAGTACCTACACAAGCCCACGGCACTGCTGTCATCAATCTCCTCAAAGCCAAGATAAATGTTTGGTCTTATTGACTGCAAATATCTTCAAATGCTGAATTGTCTGCAAAGTTCAAAGGTCCTTCTGCACTTAGTTGGCTCCCTCGACACAGGAGCACTTCTCTGCAGATGCATGAACAAGTGCTTGCCTTGCTGCCAGGAGAGCAGACGAGGGACCATTTCGGTGTCTCATCTCGTGTCTTGTGCTGACTCGACGCTTGCTAAGGCTGCATGTGGGTTGGCGCAGGTCATGCACGCCACACTGCTCCTCGCTGATGGTCTGAGCAACCAAAAAGTCCACCTTACGTACTGATACACTTTCACATGTTGGTGTGCTTGGAATGCTGGCCAATCCTGCCCGTTGGGCTCGACAGTGACGTCGAGATAACAGCAAACAAATGGTCAAGCTTGCTCACTTGTGAAGCACTTGATGGGCAAGTCTGCGAACTATCTGACCCACGTCTACAAGCCGTCCGATTTGTTGGTCAATAGTTGCGCGTAATCAGGTCCAATACTGGAACAGCAGAAACACCAGTATACTTCTGATGGATCGAGTAGGCCATTGATTCTCGCACGCTTTGTATCCGATGCAATCACAGCAGGGTAGAGCAGCAGGAGATTTAGAAGCTGCGACAATTTACGCTGACCTCTGTGTTCTGCTTGACTAAGCTCAAGCTAGAGACATCATTCATGACTTGAATTCTGCAGTACACCGTCTGATGGCTCAAAGCCAAGTTCCTTCACAACTGGCCCATGATCAGCTCTGCTGTGCAATTCTGTCGGTTTCGGCAGCTTCGGCAACAATGACCACAAGAAGCAAAGGGCCAGTTGCCTGAAGGCATCAGAGCTCCTCCATCATGTCTTCATTGAAGCCCTCATCTGCAGACTCCCCTGCCAGTCACGCACCGTCCGCCACACCGTCTTGAGTCACTACGTAGCACCACCACACCTCCAAGGCCAATGAGCCTCCAGCCTCAAGCAAACACGAAAACCAAACACCCACCCACATAGCAATGAACCGTTGAACCGCTCGCGAAGTGCTGAGAAGGGAACCCACGTACAAGAGTACCATCTCCAGAGCGAAGACCATGACGTAGAGCAGGAACAGCAGGCCGCATGCCTCTTCCAGCGCCAGGCGTGAAGTCCGTGGCATGAATCGACTGAATGAGTGCAGCAAAAATGCGACAGAGGACTTCAGCGAAAAGCTAAACGCCAGCCTGTGGTCGGCTATATCCACTCCTTAGGCTGGTTTGGCTCCAGGCAAAAAGGGAATCGCGTACTCGTGTTTTTATGGCCAACTCATCACCATGCGCCCGGGCGAACCGAGGTCTAAGGTGCGCGGTTCGCCATTTCAACGCCAGGGCTCTGCTCCAAAAGCTCTACGGTCCGGAACGGATTTGGCGCAGAGAGCAAGGAGCGTCGCCTCAGAATTCTTGCCATATGAATCCGCCTGCGTGCAAGGGGAGGCAGTGCCTGGGAAGGGGGAAACGGCAGCTTGAGGAACAACCATGCTGCATGTCCAATGTCTACATTACAGGCATGCTGTCGACCATGTTGTTTGTCTACAGACCAGCGCGACAGCTGCTTTAGTCAACATAAAATGCACTTGGTTTCACAGTGGTAATGCTACGTAGTGGTGTCAATTTGGTTTTTATGGAAGTTTAAGTGCTGCGTGCGGCGCCCGACTTGGCACACTGTACCAATTGTGTTTGGAAGAAACTAGCTCTGTTTGTTGGCTTTCATTCATCGATGTTTGCGCTGGTCGGTGATAAAACTGGTCGACAATGTCGACACCACTGGCATTGGCATCGTCGCTGTTTGGGTCTGGACCCACAGCGCAAACGTGCAGCCGCCTGTAGCTGTGGCCCGTGCCCACACCGCCTGCATAAAATTATGGATTCCTGTTGTAGCTTCTGCAGAGAAGCGAGAACAGTTGGACAAGGAGGTTGCCTAAAACCAGGTTCAGATTCCATTGCTCTTGAGCATCGTCTTCCTACCACTCTATATTGTCTCACGTAGCTTTGATTTCTGTACGTTGAACCCAAAGATCGCAACCTTCTAGCGCAAGTGTGCACGAAGTTCACTTTGGTAGCTCCAGCACATGCCAATTTTTTAGCACAGCTCCAAGTGCAACATATACTTTTCAACAAGCACACCTGCTCGGTACAAGTGTAGACACAAAGTACACTGCTGGCAGCTCCAGCTCGACAATGGCGACCATTGAAAGCCATTGTAATCGAGATGAGGCAGGCACGCAGGGAAGGAAGGGCTTTGTCGTTTCTGTTGTCATTGAGTTATCATCACGTTCAGCCATCATGCCCGAACTTTGTGCATATTTCTGCTACCTAACAAGCTGTCGCAGCTGACGAAGACGCTTTCCACAATCCAGAGGCTTGCTGGAGGCTAAATTGCCAAAAAGCACGCGCTTGTGCTGCATTCCCGGCTCACCCGCCCACCCGGCCGCCCACCCGCCGCCCGCCCTCGAGCACCCGCCGAACGCCACGCGCAAAGCTCTGCGACTTCCTCTACTCAGATCTAGGCTGGACGGGCTTTCGTTGAGGCTCTTCATCTTCAGCATCCTCGTCACCTGCTCCGACGAATCTAAGACGTTGGACACCCTTTTGATTGTAAGGAACGCATGCATGCGCGTTTGGCTTGAGCCCAACATGCCACCAAATAGACCGATTCTATCGCTGAACGTCACCGCTTAAATGGCAGCACCTCCAGTGCCAGAAGCGCCAGCATCCTGGGAAGGACAAACAGTCCCGCTGCACCTCTAGCACAAACTCACGATCAGCGTCCTCAGACGTCTCAACCAGAGCCAGCTGCGCCTGCGAGTCTCATCGCATGTTCCATGCGCATGTGCGCTCGACACGACTGAGCAAGCACCTCAAGTTGTTGTATCTTCTGGTGGAATCGAGCTGCTTGGTCATACCTCTTCTTTGCCAATCCATCATACTGCAGGTACCCATGTGCACTCATTTTGTGAATTCAGCTAGAACTCATTCAACTCATCATACTCGCAGGCATCAGCTGTCAAATAGGGGCTCTCACTGCTCTGCTTGAACAGCTTCCTGCTTCTTGTGTTTCCTGGTGCTGGCATTGAATTTGACTCATCGGGCTGCCAGCGTGACACGAGATGTTATCAAATGCACGGCATGCAAAGCACGCAAAGCACGCAAAGCATCCATGACACTGCACTGAAAGAACTCACCAAGCGTCACTATATCTAAGGCTGCTTTGAGGACTGTGGGATTTGAGAAGCTCCTGGCCGGGCGTCTCCCAGGGTTGTAATGTTGGATGCATTCAGAGCAAACTTACTCGACCAAGCTTCGACTTTGTCTTCTCTGTCTTGTCCTCGCAGGTTGTGCCAGCTTTGTGGCTGCTGTGCCGCGGCCACTTGCATGTGTAGCGGAACTGAGTTGCAGACTTCTGTTTCATCCACATCCTGGAACAGCACAACAGGCCCACCTCTGACGGCGCATTCACACGACAACGTCTCCTCTGGTGAGTCGGAAGTTGGCGCCATTGTGGCAGGACCGTTTACATTCCAACCAAACCGTTGCCACCTGACTTTTCAAGTATTTTCAAGTCCTTTGCTTCTCTGGGGCAAGATGTTGTTGCGACATGCCGTTAGGCTCATGAGCGACATTCGAGAACGAAAAGACATGGGCAGCCACTTCAGTGTGTACAGCAAATGTGCTTGTTTTCATCAGTGCTTCAGCCACAAGGTGTGAATTTCATCCCCTTGAGGTGCTCTCTCACACGTCGAGACTCCAAGCTGCAAGCATCAAACTCATAGCGTCCAATGTGCTCTTCCGCGCGTTTGTTTTCTCGCAGGTATTGTCAAGGCCACTGCTGCGTCTGACGGTAGCTCCTCAGTTTGCATGTGCTCTGTGACTCCAGGTGAGCGGCTTCCCAACCTGCCTATGTCTGGCCTAAGCAACAATGGCAAAGCGCTTGCCAGTTCAGCAATCGAAGCACATCTGCTGAGGCAGCCACTGCACTGGGAATGGGCTGCGAACCCGCACCTGAACCTGAGCTTCACCAAACGCCAAGAGCGCGTCAGGCCAACTCAGGGATGCGAGTCAGGCCAAGAAAGCGAGTGCTTGGCCCCCTGCGTCGGGCCAAGCTTCGACTCCTGGAAGCGCCACAAGGGAATACAAAGCTTATCAATCAAACTCTCACAACTCGAACAACAGCAGTGCATGCCAAAAAAGTAGATTGCAGGAGCGTTTCTACTGACAGCTGAACTTTAACGATCTGGTCCGGGCAAGACAAGCCTAATCCCTCTGCTTTGAATCAGTTTAGGGGTTCTGAGGCTTTGCCTGTGTGCATGTCAGCAAAACAGTCTCGCGCAGCAGCACAAAAACACACACAAAGAAAGAAAGAAAGAAAGAAAGAAAGAAAGAAAGAAAGAAAGAAAGAAAGAAAGAAAGAAAGAAAGAAAGAAAGAAAGAAAGAAAGAAAGAAAGAAAGAAAGAAAGAAAGAAAGAAAGAAAAAAAGAAAGAAAGAAAGAAAGAAAGAAGAAATAAAAGCAGTCGACTCCTGCTGCGGCGTTGTGGCAGATCGTGTCTCAATGAGTCCTTTGCCATGCAGGACTTCCGCCGATCGTCCGACATGGCAGCACGACAAACCCCGTGAAGCGTATGCGAGTTTTCTGACTAATTTGGGGTTCACATCAGAAAAATCTGACATCACCGCACGGGTCGGGCAGCTTCCTCATTTCTATTGCGGAGTATGCACAACTCTGCGGGCTTCTGGAATCGAAGCAATGTTGCGGCTTGGTGCTAGAACTGAATGCGTTGATGCGTGTAGTCAGCCGCGTTTAGTCCATGAGGCAGAGGCAAAGTGTCTTTGTGCTCAGTCTCGCAGTCTAAGTACCTGGCATCCTGTGTGGCTCGATAGCGCTGGCCGGCACTGCCGCGCAACGGTGCCCCAATCGGCAAGGCGCCTCGGTCACTTCAATTGGTCGAAAATTCAACTGGCTAAATGAGTCCAAATTAGCGCAACGAGATCAATTTGTCCAGTAAATCCAGCGCAAAGGAGTACAATGACACTGCAGTTTAAGCTCCGTGCGCTGCCTTGAACTTGGAATGATCTCTCTTTCCCTGGCACAAAACCCGCCACTGACCTGTACATGTGTATATACATACATAATATAATTGTATAAAGGCTCAAATACATCTAGCCCCTGGCCTGCTGTTGTTGCGAGGCGCGTGCATGCCGATGGGCAAGGGATCAGCGTCGGGCCTTTGGTGTTCAGGGGTCACATCAAGCATCAACAAATCTTTCAAATCCGCCTTCTATCAGCTGACCAGTCATCTCTCCTGCGCTCCAATTGCAGATCCTACCGTGGAAGCCTCCCAGCTGCCAATGTCGACCCTCCTTTCACTTTCGGCACGTGGAGAATCACGCCAAGACCTGAGCGAATCGGTCACCAAAGTGAGCACTTTGCTGTGTTCCCATTGCGTTGCTCTAAGTCCTGCCTGTCATCACCCCAAGAAGCGTTGGCCACGGCACGGCCTACCATGCGACGCGAGCACTGAAACATCAAAAGAAAGAATTGCGCCATCCCAAATATACATTGATTGGACTTCTTTCAGAATAGACAAGGAATACCAAAAGAGCCCTAGCTGTGCTTGTTGCTAAGACAAGCTTTCTCTTCGCAGGTGGCACCGTGCGAACTTGCAGGGTTTGTCAACCGGCCGTATCTTGCTTTTGTTTGAAGGGCCCAAAGTGGGTGGAGACTCGATTCATGTGTTTTGTCTGCTTTTCAGGTTCGTCGCTGTGACGTATCTTACGGCATTTGCTTGCAGTTGGCTTAGACCGGCATTGTCAACTTCTCAACAAACCAAACGATAGAACATGTAAGCTAATACAAATAGACACATAAAACAAATGCGTGCTCATTTTGGTTACTTACTTCGTCTAGATCCGCTTCCTCTTGCAAGCCTTCAGCTTGAGCTGAGACATCATTCAATGCACCAGACTCTTCCTCAAGCATCACCAAACGTTTGGCTTGGGCTGAGTTTAGGGCGATGTCAATGTGTGTTTAAGGTGGGTTGGGGGAGGCTTGGGGGAGGCTTGGGATTCTTTAGGGTGGGCTTACGGTTGGCTCGGGTTGGCCTGGGGATTGTGTAGGATAGGTTCAGGGCTGGCTTAGTGGCTTAGAGTGGGCTTAGGGCTGGGTTTAGGTAGATTTAGGGTGGGTTTAGGCTCGGTTTATGGCAGATTTAGGGTGTTAGGGATTGCTTGGTGCTGGTTTAGAGTGGGTTTGGGGTGGGTCGGCGTGAGTTGAGGGGGTTTAGGGATGGATTAGCTGGTTTAGTGTGGGCTTGGGTTTGGTTCAGGGAGGGATTTTGTTTGGTTTAGGTTTGCATAGGGCTTGTTTGGGGCTGGTTTAGGATTGGTTTTGGGTTGGTTTTGGGTTTAGAGCTGGTTTAGGGCGGGTTTAGGTTGATTTAGAGTTGGTTGGGGATGGTTTGGCGCGCTGGTTTAGGGCGAGCTTAGGGTTTGTGTGTTTTAGGGGCGGGTTGACTGGTCTTCGGAAGGCACTGCGTGCATGGCTGGCATCCGAGCGAGGATGTCAAGAAAATCCATCGTCTTGGGGCCATGCCGTACAAGGGATTGAACAGCTCGAGCCTCAAACGGTTGTGTTATAACACTGGAGTCCCGCTGCGAGTTGCCAATCGCGCCTCTCGCCAAGAACCAAAAATCAAGAATCCCCCGGAGGCGGATCTCCACTCTTTGTCTTGCTACCATAGGGCAATAAAGCACTCTCACACGCTCTTCCCGCTTACTGCTTGTCCACATTAGGGCGTTTCAACTATGACGATTCACGCGCGCCACGGCAAACACGCAGGCGTTGGCGTTAACAAGTCGCCATTGGAGTGATTTTCATCTGCCTGGCGTGGCATGGGGTGCCAGACATGGGCCTCGATCTACTGCGCTGCTGGCACTGGGCACCGGCTGCTTGCGCGCTCCAATCGGAGCGCCCACCTCAGCGTGTGCCCAAGGGTCATGGCACGGGCCCCAGGCTCAGTCTGATCAGTTCCAAGGGGCGGCCCCGTATGACTGTGAGCTATCATAGCCATCCCCACGTCGAGTTCCTGGAGCCGCGAAGGAAAGGATGGGATCCCTACATGTCAACTCATCGCCACTGTTGCACAGCTTCTGTTGTGGTCTCTCAAAAAAGCCCATCCCAAAAAAAGCAAACAAGACAAATGGGCGCAGCCCGAGCCAGGTAGCGACAGATCTCACTCCACAAAACAACGCTGAAGGCTCTCAAACATACCCCGAATATCGAACCAGAATTACATAACATATTCACCGCTTGCATCGAACGGGAGTTTATGACAAGGTGTTTCTTGATAAGTATCAGTACATCGGTACAGGCCTCGATCTGCATTATCCTTGAGGCTCCTGCATATTTGGTGTGAGAAGACCCGGAAGCACAGCACTTTGCTCTCTCATCACAGGTGCCTGGCGAGTGGTCGGCGAAATGACGTTGAAGCGTTCACCTCCAGGAGCGATTGTCGTGCGCGCACATCTTGCTGACAAGCGCAGCGTGATGGCAACCCGCAGCGTGATCAAGATCTGTTTGCAAGGCCTCCTGCGCCGAGACCGCTGAATCCTGAGCCGGAGGATATCTGATTCTGCACTGCGCAAGATTAGTGTCACAAGCACTCCTCCTCTGCCACTTTGGGCAAGTCTTTCACAAGGTTCTTATACCTTCGCAGCTTGAACGCATGATGTGCATGATAGGATATGAGTGACATGAGAACAAAGCTTGCCTGGCCATGAGGTCGGAGGTTGATGGCGCGTGCGTGTCCTGCGACAAGCAGCAATATGGAGGCTGTGAGGGCACAGGAGTGCTGCATCAAGAATTGATGGTTCCAACAAAAAGCACACAGGATCCTAGCAGCACGACCTGCGCGACTCTGTAATCTATGAACTCTCATTAGAATACTGTGCGGCGCTTTCACATTGCTTGGGTGACGTTGTGCCCATTGGATCTTGGCTGGCTGTATTCATGTGCACTGTGCTTCTTGCATTCCTTGTCATGTACCTGCGTTTGACAGCTGAACCTGAAAAATCAAACAGCCTTGATCAACAAGTTAATCATCCCCATGTGAGCTTTCGCTAGATACCTCACCACTCAGAGCAGAAGTCGCTTCACAGTGAAGCAGTCCTTCGGGGCTGGAGCACCTGCTTTTCGCGCAAAGCCCACTGCCTGCCGGTCGGATCTTATAAGCCAAGGCATGCCAAACAACAAACACATTGACAACTTGAAGCAACTCTCGTCTGAGCCGCGCCAATGTTGAGTACTCTTACTCACTAAGGTGATCATATCATTTCTTGTCATGTTTCTTTGGGGAGTCGTGAATACGTGGATGGGCGTGCTCACTTCAATCCAGCGACTCCCTTCCGTCTGCCATGCACTCGCCTCCTTGGGCTCCTCCTTCGGCGGCGCCGGCGCTGGCAGCTGCCGGAATGGTCTTAAGTTCTCTGGCGGAGCAGCTGGGCGCACACCATACCTTCGCAACACCAAGCAGCCAAGCAGCCAAGCAGCCAAGCAGCCAAGCATGAGAGATGTTTGCCACTTGGTGTTTGCTGCAGCAGAGTCGCTTCTCACAAATCCTATCGTACATCTCCTCTTCGCAGCCGGCATACTTTTGCATTAGGTGAGGCACCTTGAGCCGCAGACTCATGTGAGAAGCTTCGAGTGTTGCTGTCCAATGAGCTGGCGACATCGGCAAGTTTATCCGGGTTGTGCTTTTGGTAGATCTGACACAACGCGACAATGCAACAGCTGCATGTGCCACGGTCCAAATATGGAATGTCTGCAGTGAAACTGGGATAGATTTGAGTAAATGGACCATAGACTGCTCTGGAACCTCACACGCAATCACTCATGACGGTAAGCTTCGAGCTGTCCGAATCTGCAAGGCATACCACTCTTCTTGGTGCAACTCACGGCTCCCAAGGGATGACAATTAGGGTACAAGTGCGGTGCATTACAGCATGCCGTTCAAATCGGCATCGGTGAAATGGCGCGGATTGCAGGGGCATGCCATATGTGCAAGCAAGATTCTTGCTGCTACAGTAGTCGCAGCAGTTGGCCGAGCCGGTGGAGATGGTGTCTGTCCAGGTGGATTCCTGAATCTACGATTTCCTGGCATTCCCTCTGAACAACCCACGTCTAGGGTGTGTACCAAGCTGGCGCAGACTTGGGGTAGTTCATGTTTGCATTGATCGGCAAGTGATGTGGTGCCAAGCGCCTAAGATGCAGAGGGCCCGGCATGACTTTGCGGGCTCGCAGGGTTGTCTGAAACTCATTCTTCCTGGAAATGTCACCAGCTCGAAATTTGCAACTGTTCAGTACCAAACTGGTACTGCACTCAAAGTACAGTGCCACATGGGGGTTGATCAAAAGGTCCTTTACATGGGATGACCATTGGGAAAACCACTAAAAAAAGGCACGTCCCTCTAAATGGGAAAAGTTACCCATGGTCAAGTCATTTAGGGGCCGGGTGTCCGGTCGCCAAGCATTCGGGGAGGGCAACACTAAAACAAAAAAGGCCTTCCCCTTCATATCTCAACACAATGACCTTGCGGACAACAAGTCCAGGAATCTGGCGACTGCGGGCTGGGCTGCGTCATGCTCTCTGGCTCCTGGCGGTGTAAAATGATGTTGGGCCACGGTCGGCAAATAAAAGCCATCATAGCCATGCCTGCCAAGCGTCCGAGCCCCAAGAATCCCAGTCAGGCCTCAACACAATGCACTGTAAGTCAAGCTGCGGAGTCGTGTCCCGACTGCAAGTACTGTTCAATGCTGGGGCCCGCCTGTCTTGTTCAGGTGCTGCTGCCTTTCCAGGAACACTTGGCAAGTGCTCTAAGCACATCACAAAGTCTGCCAGCGCTCCAGCCTTCACCGGCTGCGGAATGGTTGCCTAACACAGCTCCGAACATCGCCAAGCGGCTTTCAGTTCGGCCGCCTTCGCAGGCTCTCGAGTCTTGACGCCAAAAGCGATCCTTGGCCTTGATGCTCTTTCCTGGCAATGGTCACTGCTCTCAAGAGCCTCTTTGCGCAGACTTGTATTCGTCTCATGAGGGCCACCAAAGCCTATCCAAAATCCCTTATGCTGAACCCTCGAGAGTGAAGGAAGGCAATACACAATATGCGCATGCACAAGAGGCTTGACAAAGTGCATGTCAACCAATATGTTAAAATATGCTTGCTAGGTGTCACGTGGGCAAAGCTTACTGTGCAAGTCGCAAGCTGAGCCTCGATTAGCCTTTGAGTCAGCATTCTTTGTTCCTGTCCGAAACTTCAGGTTAGTACTTGCAGGCGCTGTGCAATATTTATGACAAAACTGACTAGTTCCCTGCACCTCGTCAAATTGCTGCTGCTCCTCTTCGTATCTCTGCCTGTGATCCCGCATGATATTACCGTTTGCACAAAATTGGTTCGCCAAGAGCTGCTTCACAAACTTATCAAACACCCTTGTGCAATCTCTTCCAACTGTCATATGCATATTTCTAGCAAAACACGGCGCCTCCGCGCAACTTCCTCGCGCTGCCTCCATATGGCATTGGCTTTTCTGGAGACCTTCGGCTGTCAGGAACAAAGGCTTGAAAGCGCTTGGTGCTCACCTCATCTTCCTTGCTCAGCAGGAGGACTTCAAACTGCCTGAGCTGCTCTTCCTGGCACACTGCAAACGCTTTCCCAAAGACTTCACGTAATCATGTGGTAAGCATTTGGATTAATATGCTGGTTCTACGCCCCGGTGTTGCGCGTGTTTGGAAACGGTCTGTTTCAAAGTAGAGCTGTTGATTCCAACAGATCCATCCACAATCGACTCCTGCATTTGACTCAGGGCCTGCCACAATTGCAACTTACCCGCGATGTAACATACTGTTCACCTTGCTTGAATTGCTTGATAGCACTTGCAGCATGCACTTGGCCAGACTCGGCAGTTTGGAACTCGTTCTTCTCTTTGTATCCTTGTCAAGAATCCATATTGCATTTCCGGGCGCGGAAAAGCCTGTGAGGGAGCCTACGCTGGTATCCCCATTCAGACCTGAAAGTGGTAGCGTATCTTGGTTTCTGGTCACCTGGGTGTGAGCCCAATACGTTGACCCTGCCTCTCTTTCCTTCTTCAACTTCTCCAAGATGCGGAGCCTAGCTCGGCTTTGCTGTTTGCAAAACAAGGCAGCCCTGCAACGCGCGACTGCGGAGCTCGCAGCTCTGCTACGCGGAGCTAAGCTGCCTCTCGCGCTCTGCCGCAGCTTCTCGAGCTCGGCGCTCCTCTTCTCGATGTCTCCTCTCCTAAGCTCCGCAAAGCTCTGCCTTGGGCGCCTTGGGCTCAGGCTTTGCCTCGTCAGCTCTCCTTTGCAGCTCCTGCTGCCATAGGAATCGCCTTCTCTCCTGATGAACATGGCATGCCCAAGTCGCAGCCAAGTCGAAACGCCTGCGTGGCCACTTGTGTTTCTTCCTTCTGCTTGATTACCTGCAAAACCTTGGGCTG